GGGTGGGGGCCACGGCTGTCAGGGTCGCGCTGCAGCACCTCCATCAGGTTGGTGATGAAGAAGTTGTTCTGCAGGGCCGCGACGCCCCGCTCGGGCAGGATGGAGGTCTGGCGGCAGACGGGGCAGGAGAGGGTCAGGCTCTGGGGCGGGATATAGTTCTGGAGACACCTGGGGCAGAACGGGGACAACGAGAGGGTCAGGGCCACCACCACGCAGGCGCGGGGCAGTGTGTGGGGCAGCGGGATGGGGCTGGGCAGACAGACAGGGGCCTGGGGGGACAGGTGGACGGACGTGGGGCTGTGCCATGGTGCATGGAAGCACACAGGACAGAAGGCAGGGATGGGGCTGGGGACAGACGGAGGGATGGGGGCTGTGCCAGCATGCGCTGGGGAGCATAAGGTATGAAGAGAAGAAGGGACTGGAAGGGCAGCCAGCAGGACAGGCAGATGGGGAGCTGCACCGCAGTGCCGCAGGGTGCACAGGACAGGGGCAGAGGAAGGGGTTGGGGGAACAGACAGACACGGGGCAGAAGGATGGACACAGGGCTATGCCACGGTGCATCAGGGGTGCATGGGGAGAGGGCTGGGGTATCAGACAGACAGCAGGACAACTGGGGGTGAGGGGGGCACAGCGCTGCAGTGCCAATGGAGAGCTGGCCACTGGACCCCGACATGGGGCCAGACCCACAGACAGACAGAGATGGGATGGGACGGGACCATGAGGGCAGGGACAGGGAAGCGCCAGGTGCTGGCAGAGGCCTGGAGGGCACAGAAAGAGCAGACATCAGAACAGAGCCCCCAGCCATGCCGCAGCCCCCCCCCAGCCAGACCCCGCACTCTGGGGCAGAAACAACCCCACTGCCCATGGGATGAGAGCTCTAGGGGGCAGCGTGGCCCCCTGCCTCCAGGTGGGGGCTTTCACCCCATCTTGCATTCGAAACATGTAGTGGGGCTCTGCTCCCCCCTGGCTGATGGGGGGCAGGCATCCTGGGGGCATGGGCTGGCCTGGGCAGTGCATGGGGAGCTGCAGTGCAGAGCAGTGAGGGTGCAGGGGCGTGGGGGGCTGCATAGCCTGGAGGCAGCAGCGCACTGCAGGGGGGCTGTGGGCAGTGCAGCGGGGCACAGCGCGGATGCCATGGGGGCATGGTGGGGATGCAGCCTGAAGGCAGCATGGATGCGGCAGGGGGCAGTGGGACCGTAGTGCCATGCAGCTTGGGGGCAGCGGGGATGCAGCGGGACAGAGCAGCCCCAGCTCCGCTCCTGCAGGAGCCGCGGGAGGGGGGTGCAGGGGATGCAGCTGGGCACAGCGCGGGTGCAGGGAGGGCGCTGCAGGTCCGTGAATGCAGCACGAACGCTCCGGGGCGCAGTGACCCAGGCAACCTGCAGGAGGTGCAGTGGGGGAAGCCGCCAGTACAGGCGGATGGAGTACGGCAACGGGGTGCAGTGGGGCTCGGGGTGCAGCACAGACACAGCTGGATGCAGTGGGGGCACAGTGGGGATGCAGTGGGGCCCTGGCAGCAGGCAGGGGTGCTGCAGTGGGGAGCATTGGGATGCAGGGGGCCCCTCAGGGTCTGGACATCCAGAGCAGGCACTGGGAGTGCAGTGGGACCCCAGTTCAGCTCTGTCAGGAGGTTTGGGAGGGAAAGTGCTTCAGGAGATGCAGCGCAGCACACGGTGAGTGCCGTGGGTAATGCAGTGTGGTGCAGGGAGGAAGCATCAGGGCACAGTGGGGAGCAGTAGGGCATGCTGTGAGGGACGCAGCAGGGATGCAGAGGGCACAACAGGGATGCTGTGGGGGTAGGATTTGGGGGCAGCAGGACGGAGGGGATGCAGCAGGGGATGCAGTGTGGGTGAAATGGGTGCGCAACAAGGTGCAGCAGAGATGCAGCAGTGCACAATGGGGATAAAGGGGGGTGCAGTGGGGATGCGGTTTGGGGTCAGCAGGGCACAGCAGGGATGCAGCAGGGATGCACCAAGATGCAGCAATGCAGTGGGGCACAACAGGGATGCAGCAGGGATGCCATGGCATGCGGCACAGCACCTTGTGGGTGCAGTGGGGCACAGAGGGGACACGGCACGACTGCAGGGGGGAGTGCCAACCCCGCGGTGGGGTGTGGACGGGCACCGTGGGGCAGGGCCTCACCTCTCGCAGAAGGTGTGCAGGCAGGGCAGCACCTTGGGGTTGCGGTAGCGGTCGAGGCAGATGCTGCACACCAGGAACTGTTTGTCAATCTGCCGCACCACCGGGCTGGCGCTGGCCTCCCGCTTCGCCATGGCGGCGTTCCCGCGGCCCCGCGGCGCTCAGCCTGCAGGCGGGGGTGGTCAGGGGGTCAGCACCCCCACGCCGCCCCCAGCCCCACACCGGCCCCGTGGGCTGGGCACGCAGCGTGCGCTCACCCCGCAGGGCTCGGGGGCGGCCGCAGCCCTCGCCCCACACACCATGGGGCAGGCAAGGGCGAGCAGGGCCACCCACCCCTTCCCACCCCAGACACAGCGCCCCACAACCGAGACCCACAGCACGGTGCCGGGGGGCGGCAGCGGGCTCCCCCCCTCCACCGAGCGCTGCCCCCCACGCAGAGCACCCACCCGCCCGCACGGAGCCCCACGGAGCCCCACGGGCCGCCCCCTCCCAGCCGCTCCGGGACCGGGGCCCGGGCCCACGCCCGGCGCCTTCGCGCCCCACCAAGGACAGCGCCGCCCCCCCCGCCCCACGGGTGCCCGACCCCACGCGGGGGGGGCCCGGCACGCACCCGCCGCGCTGCCCCCGCCCCGCTCCGAGGCTCCGCGTCCGCCCCGCGCTCCCCGCGCCCCGCGGGGCCCCCCACGCGCGCCCCCTCCCCACGGCGCCGCCCGCCCCCCCCCGCCCCGTCCCCGCTCACGGCGCTGCGGCGGCCCCACGGCTGCAGGCCCCGGCGCGGCCCCGCCCCGACGGCCATTGTGCGGGCCCGGCACCGCGACGTCACCGCCCGCCCGCCCCGCCCCGGGGGGGGCACGGGGGGCACCGGCACCGGGATGGCGCGGGCCCGGCCCTGCCCCCCCCACCCCCAAACCCCCCCTCCCCCGTACCGGCACGGAGCTGCACCCCCGGTCGCTCTCGCCCCCCCCCCACGCGTGCCGGCGCCGCCCCGCATCCCCGCGCAGGCCGCCCCCCGGCCCCACCCGTGCCAGCTCCGTCCCGGCCCCACCCGTGCCAGCCGCGTCCTGCCCCCCCCCCCCGCCCCGCCCCTCGGCCCCGCTGTCACCTTCAGGCCCGGCTCGGCTCGGCTCGGCTCAGCCCCCGCCGCGGGCAGCCGGTGCCGGGGGGCCGGCAGGGCGCATCGCCGCGGCTCGGCTCGGCTCGGCCCGGCGCGGCAGGGACTGCGCCAGGGCTGGGCACGGTCCGCAGCCGCATCTGCCAGAGCGGCCCGCACCACTGCGGGGGGGGGCGCCCGGCACCGCGGCCTCGCCCGGCGGCGCGCGGGGACCCCCCCGGGACCCCCCCCCCGGGGCTGGCTGAGAGCCGTGGGCGCTGTGCGGAGCGCCAGAGCCACGCGGGGTCCGCGGGGGGGGTCCCCACGCGCCTGCCGTGGGAAGACCCGCGGGAACGCCCCCCCCGCCTCCCCCGCCAAGAATGGTCGCGCCCGGGCTGTGGCTCTGCAGTGGGGGGGCTCCGGGCGCGCCCCCCCCCCCGCATCCCGGGGGTACCCGGCTGTCGCCACGGCAACCGCATCCCGCCCCGACAGCAGCCCCGAGCGGGGGCGCCGCCGAAGAGGGGGTGCGCGCCCCCCGCCCCGGGCCCGGAGCCTGCTGCTGGCCGCATGGGGGGGCGCAGCCCCGCCGTGCTGGGGGGCGCGGCGCCCACCCTGCCCCCCGCCGCCCTCCTGCCCCGGCCCCCCGCAGGGCGCAGCAGTGCCGGGAGCTCCGCGCTGACCCCGCTGCTTCCCCCCCCCTGCTGCCACCGCCCCCCAGCGCCTCCGCGCTGCTGCCGCTCACCTCCGCGGCGGAGCCATGCAGGCACGGCCAGGACCCTGCGGGGACGGGAGAGTCCCCAGCCCCGGGACCTGGCGCTGCAGGTGCCGGCCGATGGCGAGGAGCGGGCGCGGGGTGGTTCAATGCGTGGGCTGCTGCCCCGGCCCCATGGGTGCTGCTGGGGCCGAGCCCCACCAACACCCCTGCGCCACGGCCCAGGCCTGGGGCTGCCCAGGCCCCCGCAGAGGAACCGGCCGGGCGGCATTCCCAGCACCGCGCCACCAGCACAGCACCGCCACTGCCACCACCGCCGCCCTGCTGTTGTCCCCAGCACCCCACACAGCAGCGCCATCAACTCAGCCCTGGGCCCTCTCCTGCCAAACGTCTTCAGCCCAGTGCAGGCAGTGCCCACTCGTGAAGGTTATGGGTGACACCAGGCTGGGGAAATTGTGCCAGGGTGACACCGGGCTGGGGAAACCATCACCAGGGCAAGACTCCACCCAAAGAGCTTTGGGCAGGCGGGAGGAAAGGGCCAACAGGAGCAGCGTGATGTTCGGTAGGGATTAGTCCAAGTCCTGCTTCAGGAAGGACACAGCCCTGCAACAGCACCGGCCAGGACTGCCCAGCTGGGGAAAATGTCCTGGGGAAAATGTCCTGGGGGTCTTCATGGGCAGGACGAGGAGCTGCAGGACATCCCGGCAGCAAGGAGAGCCTGGCAGCACCCAGCCTGTGTGCATGGGGGCACAGACGAGAGGCTGGGGGGGATCAGCCCCCTCTCCACTTGTTAAACCACATCTGGACACTGCTGTGAGTTTTGGGCCCCCAGCACATGAAAGACCTCAACAAACCACCCCAAGTTCAGGGGGGAGTCCATGGGGGTGGTCATGAGCTGAACCTGTCTAAACATCAGGAAGCACTTCCCTGCTGAGGAGGTGATGAACCCCGGGCCTGTGGGATCTCCTGCCCTGGAGATCTTCACAAGCTGCCTTGAAATGGTCCTGGGCAGCCTGCTCTAGGTGGCTCTGCTTCAGCAGGGGTTGGGCCAAATGACCTTCAGAGGTCCCTGCCAACCTCAGCCATTCTGTCATTCTGCGATGCTGTGAGCACTTGCCCTGTGAGGAGGGAGCTAGGAGAGACTGAGGCTTGCTCAGCCTTCAGGAGAGAAGCTTCCAACCCAGCAGCAACCTGATGGCTCCTACAGGGAGGTTACGGAGGAGCCGGAGCCAGGCTCTGCGCAGTGCTGCAGGCTGGAGAGCCCACAGACAGGCAGAAATGTGAGTTTCAGGCTGGATCTTGGGAAAGGCATCCCACGAGGACTGTCCGGGACTGGAGCAGGTTGCCCAGCGGGGCTGTGCAGCCTCCACCTGCGCAGGTTTTCACGATGCTGAATAAAGCCATGAGCAGCCTGCTCTGAGCCCACAGCTGCCCCTGCAGGTGGTTGGACCAGAGGCCCCCCGAGGTCTCCAAGCCCCCCCGCACTGTTCCTCTGCCCAGGTTCCAGCTGCCTCCAGCCCCCCCCCCCGCCCAGCCCCTGCACCCTTTACCGAGCGCTGCTGGGGGTCCCCGAGTGCCCCCATCCCCCCCCCCTCCACAGCCGGGACAGCAGCGGGGGGGCGGGAGGGGGCAGAGGGAGGCGGCCGGGACGGGGCGGGGGGGGGGGGGCCCAGCTGCCCCGCACGGCCTGGCACGGCCGGGGCACAACAAAGGGCGCAGTGAGCGGGGGGAGCGCAGCTGGGCCGGGGGGGGGCGGCCGGGCACGAGGAACGCCCGCGGGGCTGCGCCGCGCTGACAGCGGCCGGGCGGGGGCCGGCAGCGGGCGAGGGGGCTGGGGGAGAGCAGGGGGGGGTCCCACAGCGGAGGGGGGGTCCCACAACGTTTATTGACACTCGGAAAAGAGACGCGCGCGGAGAAGGATAAAACCCGCTGGGCTCGGGGTAGGCGCCGGCAGCCCCCGGCTCCCGCCGGGCCCTCAGCTGGGGGGGGCCCCGCGTGCCCGCCCCCCCGCCAGGCGCCGCAGGAAGCCGAGCAGCGCCGAGCCCTCGGAGGGGGCAGCGCGGGCCGGGCCGGGGGCGCCGGGCCCCTTCCGCTGGAACAGCCCGAAGAAGGGCGCGGGGGCTGGGGCGGGGGGCTCGGGCGGCCGGGGCTCGGGGCCCCCCCGCGGCTCGGGCAGCGCGGGCAGCTCGGGGGCCGTGTGGCGCCGCTGCAGGGCCGGGGGGGCGGCGAAGGGCGGCGGCAGGGCGGGGAGCGGGCGGGGGGCGCCCGGCTCCGCGTCCCGCGCCGAGCAGGAGGCGACTGGAGCGGCGCTTCTGCCGCTGGAGCTCCAGCTGCTGCCGCCGCCGCCGCGCCTGCTCCCGCGCCCGGTTCTCCTGCGGGAGGGGGGGGGGGGGGCAGGCGGCGTCAGGGCGCGGCGGGGGCCGGGGGGCGGCGGCGCGGGGCGGGCGGGGCGGGCCGGTACCTGCACGGCGCCGAGGAAGCGCCCCGCGAAGCCGTGCAGCACCGCGCACAGCTCCTGCAGCCCGCCCGGCGCCGCCTCCTCGCAGTAGAAGTCGAGCGCGGCGGCCGCGGTGCGGTGCAGCCGCTCCATCGCCGCCCGCGTCCCGCGCAGCTCCTCCTCGGCCGCCCGCAGGAACGGCGGCAGCCGCGGCCCCAGCCCCGCCGCGCCCAGGCTCCGCGCCCCGGCCAGGCGCCCCGACAGCCGCCGCAGCTCCCCCTCCACCTCCGCCTGCTCGATCCTGCGGGGCGCGGGACCCCCGTGGCACGGCCCCGCCTCGCCCCGCGCCCGGTGCCGGCCCCACGCGGACCGCGCCCGTCCCGGGGCAGGGCCCACGCGCGTCCCGGGGACCGGGAAGCCCTTACCGCGAGGCCGGGCCCACGTGCGGCAGCTTGCTCGGGAAGTCCAGCAGGTCCCTCTGCATCCTCGCCGCCTCCTGCAGGGCACGGCAGACAGAGCGTGGCCCCCGCAGCACCGGGACAGTCGCGGGGGGCACCCCCACTGCCAGGCAGAGCCGCAGCCCCACGGAGCAGAGCAGCTGCTGCCCACTCCCCTGTGGGGCTGGTGGCCAGGGCAGGGCGCACACCCCCAGGGCCCCAGACGGATGCAACACGAGGATGGTGCGGGCACAACCTGACTGTTAACTCCTGCACTGAAAACAACTCGTGCAAGTAGTAGACGTGCCTGGAAATGACAGACACCGCCTCGAGGGCACACGGGGATTTTGGGGGATACGTAGCAGCAGTGGCAGCAGGGTCCACACCTGGCCCCAGAGGAACAGGCCAATGCCAAGGGACAGCACAGAAGCAGAGGGGAGCAAGCATGCTACTGGCAGAGGCAAGGGCAGCACTGGCTCTACAGGGACAGAACTAGGGAGTGCATGAGCCAAAACACGTGCTAGAGCGCATCTGCAAGGAAAACAGCCTCCTCCACATGTGCGGGCTGGGTGTATCTCAGCCAGGGCGGCATGGGAATGACCTTGGGCATGGCAGGGGAGGGAGCGGGAGGCTGCAGGCACACAGCACAGCATGTGGGGACACTGCCCCTGCTCCTGCTGCGCCTCATGGCAGCCCAAGATGGAGCTGAGGCAGCACACATTGCTGCTGCCCAAGGTGGCACGAGAATCATAGATGCCACTGCTGGGGTGGTGGGGTTTGACAGCAGGTCTGAGGAGAGCAGAAGAGCAGCACAGGCAGTGAGACCATGCCTATGGCAGCCAGGCCTGGAGCTGCTCCAAGGGCCAGGGAGAGGAGCAAGGGGTGTGGGGACCCCTCAGCAGGGAGAAGCTCTCAGTGTGAACTCAGTGCTCTGCCATGAACAAGCCCCTCACTTGTAAGCCCATCCCCAGGGGCAGCGTGCCCAAGCTCACCATGGCCACGAAGTGCAGCAGGTCCACGCCTGGCTCGTTGGCCTTGGTGTCAGGCAGCTTCAGCAGCGAGGCGATGCGGAAGCCGACAGCGCTGCCGGCGTAGCCGCCCTGGGATGGGAACAGGGCAGTCACCACAGCCCTGCAGAGCGCAGGGTGGGAGAGCGCCCGCAGTACCAGCTCACCGAGTTGAGGTGGTTGCCCGTGCTGAGGATGAGGTGGAGGATGGTGTGCAGCTCCTCACACTCCAGCAGCTCTGGGGAGGGGGCAAAGGGTGAGCAGGGCACAGGACGGTGCTCCCACACCCCATGGCACGACTCACCCGTGGCGGCATCCGTCAGGGTCTGGATGGAGCCGCGCAGGGCACTCAGCCGGGGGAAGAACTCCTCCTGCAGCACGAGCAGCTCCAGGCGCTGGGTGTAGCTGGGGGCAAGGGCAGGGTGAGCAGGGGTGAGGACACGGCCCCCCCAGCACGTGGGGATCCCCCCGGCTCCCACCTGGGCACCTCCGTGAGCAGCAGCATGAAGAGCTCAGGGTCGGGGAGCTGCCAGGGGCTGCCAGAGAAGGCACGCAGCCGCGCCACCTGTGGGCAGAGGGGGCATCAGGTGGGGGGCGCCGGGCACCCCCTGCTCCCCAGCCCTCACCTCTGCGGCACCAGGCAGCAGCCGGGACAGCTCCAGCAGTTTCTCAGCCCCGTAGGGTGCCCCGATGCCCTCCTGGATGTCCCGCACGATCTGGCGCACCGGCCTGGGGTGGGGGGGGGGAGAGCATCAGCCACAGGATGCTGCCCCCCGGATCAGGAACCCCCCCGCTCCTGTTCCCGCCGGGGGCACGCGGGGCAGCAGGGCCCCGGGGAGCAGACAGCCCCGCGTGTCGTGCCCCTGCTCTCCCCCACGCGTGGGCCCGGGGCAGCCACTCCCGTCCCCCCCCCCGCCCAGCCGCGCGATGTCCCCGAAGGAGCGCAGGTGCCGCCCGCGCCCCGTGTGCGGGACCGGGGCTGCCCGGGGGGCAGCGGGGGCTCCGCTCACCGCTTGAGCTGCTTGAGGAAGACGCCGAGGGCGAGGCTCCGCTTGGGCTCCAGCAGCGCTGCCTGCGGGGCGCGGCGCGGTCAGAGCGGGCGGGGGCGCGACCGGCGGGGACGGGGGACCGGGGGGGGCGCGGGACACTCACCGCGGGCGTCGGGCGCTGCCCAGGGGGTCGCCCCGCGGGGCTCTCGGAACAGCAGCCGCAGGCGGGGCAGGTCCAGCGGCGGCGGGGGGGGCCGCGGCGCCCACACCGAGCGGCGCCCCCGCACCCGCGCCGCGGGCAGCGGCTCCCAGTGCAGCGCCCGCAGCCGCTCGCCCCGCGCGGCCGCCGGCGGGGAGGGCACCGCCGGGGGGAGCGGCGGCGGCGGCGGCGGCGGGGGCTGGGGGCGGCGGGGGGAGCCCATGGCCAGCGGCGGGGGGAGGCACGGCCGCCCCGCCGCTCTTACGGCCCGGCACGGCCCCGCCCGGCCCCGCCCCGCCGGGGGGCCGCGGGTGCCGGCCCCGGTCCCGGCCCCGACGGCTCGGTGCGGGTCGGCACGGCCCCGGGAGGAGCTGCTCGTGGCCAAAGCCGCCTCGGCTCGGCTCGGCGCGGCGCTCTCGGCGGAACGGGACCGCTCTCGTCCCCCCGCCTTCCCCCGGAGGACGGGAGCTGCCGTCACCAGCCCCGGGCCGGTCCCTGGAGACGGGCGAGAGCGGCGGCGGGCGGGCGGGGAGAAGGACCGATCCCCGGGCCCTGCCCCTGAGGGCCGACAAGCGCCCGGGGGCCCTCGGGGTGAGCGCGAGGCCCCCGCGTCCCCTCCCGGCCGCGAGGCAGCGAGCCCAGCTCGGGCTGGAGGGCAGCGCGACCCCCGCTGCTGCTGTGCCCCCAAACACCCTCGGCTCAAGCCCCACAGAAGCAACTGTGGGACACGAGCTGCAGCCTGCAGGAGAACCAGCCACTGTCATCGGGAACTGCTGGCACCCGGGGAACCCCCAGGCCCAGCCTCCAGCCTGGGAGCTGTGCCCACAGCACCACGCATACAGGCGAGCTGTATCATTATATTCTGTAGTTTTATTCTGATCCGTACCGTTTTATTCTGATTCATATCATTTTATTCTGGAGTCTTACAGAAGTGGAGAGGGAAAGGGGGGCAGACCTTCACCAGGAAAGGGGGAGGGGGGGTTGTCAAGATCCAGACATTAAATTACCAGGAATTAAATTAGCAAGAAAAACAAACTGTCTTGTCTCAGGAGAAAGTGCCCAAGTGCTGCATGTGGCCAGGGCGAGAAGCAACACTCAGCTGGAGTGGGATGAGCTCCCCCAGGCGTGGGACACCGGCCGGAGCCCCAGCATGGCTGCGCAGAGAAGCGCACCTGCGTCACACACACGGACATGCACATGCACCGGCCCTAGGACGTGGCCGCCCTTTGGTCCTCGGTTCAAGTCCTCGCCGCCCCTCAGTGGCAGCCAGGTCCCTGTGGGTGCTGGGGGAGTGGGGCTGCCTGGCTGGCTCCGAGCAGCGCGGGGTGGGAGCACGTCCACGGCTCCTCGGGACAGCAGCACCCAGCGGCCGTGACCACCCCAGCCCATATCCGCCCACGGAGCTGATGCGCATGGCCCTGGCCAAGGGAAAAGCAGGGATGGGCGCCGTGGCATGGGAGGCAGCCCGGCACAAGCGGCCCCACCATGCAGGGGAGTGTAGTGTGTGGCCGGGAGCACCAGCCAGGTCAGGGGGAGTGCAAGAGCAGCTGCCTGGGAACACCAGGGATCAGCCGGGAGAGACAGGGCAAGCCCAGAGCTGGGGGGGGGACAGCAGGAGCCCTGGCCACCTGCCACAGTGGGGCTGGGACCCCCCGCCACCCCTCTCAGGGACTGGGAGAGGACTGGGAGTGCCAGTGCTACCCCTCTGCAGCTTTGTCTTCATTTCAAAATAAACTTTTTTTTTTGCGAGGGGGCAGTGGTGTGCCTGGCCTGGCCCTGCAGAGCCTGGCTCAGGGCAGCAGGGGAGGCCAGCGGGGGAAGCAGCAGGGACACGTGGAGCCCACGCACCCTCTTGCCCCATGGGGAGGCAGTGGGAAGCTGCAGTGAATCCCATCCCATCCTGCAAAGGTGCCTAGTGGGATCTGAGCATCCCACCCTGGGGAGGGGGGACCTGTGGCCTTGTGGGGGGCTGCAGAGGGTGCCCACCATCTCGCCAAGGGGTCTGCGCTGGGGAGGGAGCACAGGGCCAGGTAGGACAGGACTCTGCCCCAGGGGGAGGCGCAGGCCAGGGGAGCCCCGTCCTCTCCAGGCTCCTCTCCCCAGGCAGGAGCAGCGACCCACTCAGAGCCCCTGCCCACACCCCACCAGGCTCCTGCCCTGTCGGTGCCCCCGGCTGCAGGCGCAGCAGGGCCGAGGCCGCGTCCCCCGCTCACCACTCGTGCACGCGGTCTGGCCCTGCACCAGCAGTCAGAGGTCCGAGTTCAGGTCCATGGCTTCCCCGGCCAGAGCACAAGGTGGGGCAGGCTGGGGGGGCTCACTGCTCCTCCAGCCAGGAGGGCTTCTCAGCACCAGGGGTCTTCAGCTTGATGTTGAACTGCTTGAGGGTCTGCTCCAACTGCTGCTGGTTCCCAGCAAAGTAGGCAGAGATGGCGTTGTGAAAGAGCAGAAGCTGCTTGTGCATCACCTTGATCTAGGGAGAGCAGGAGTCAGTGTGCATCCTCCCAGACCCACTGCCCAGCACCCAGGGATGGTGGAAAGGGGCCAGGGCGTGACCTGCCCAGCACAGGGGGGTACGGGACGGGACCAGAGCTGCTGCCGCCAGCCAGAAAGCAGCTGCCTGCAGCAGGCAAAAGGCAGGCGGACGGACGGGCGCTCACCTGCCCTTCCCCTCGCGGCTCCCAGCCGCTGCACGGGCACTGCCCACCTGCAGGAGCACCTCGGGCATGGGGCAGCGAGGCCGCGCAGCCCACAGACAGGGCCAAGGGACACGCGTGCGCAGCACAGTCCCATCTGGCACCCTGCGGCCCTCCCCACCTTGTTCTCCTCCAAGAACTTGAGCTTGATGGCCACATCAGCACGCAGCTTTTCGTACTTGTCCTTGTGGCTCTGAAACTGGCTCTGGGCTGCGTCCAGCCGGCACAGGGTGCTGGCGTCCCGGGGACCCATGCTCAGCTCCTCCAGGTCCGTGCGGTAGGCGTCGTACTCCAGCCTGCACAGGGGCAGCAACAGTCAGAGCTGCACGGTGGCCCCTCCAGCCACCTGCAGCAACCCAGCCCTGGCCCGTGCTGCTGTCCTACCTGGCTGTCTCATACTGCTTGACCGTCATGAGCGTGTCCTCCATGGTCTTGTTCACCAGCGTGTTGATGCTGGAGACAAAGAAGTTGACAGCTCCCAGTAGTGTTTCTCCATTCTTGCAGAGCAGTTTCTGTGTCTCCGCATTGTAACCAAACTCCTCCTGGGGCAGAGAGGAGGACGAGTCAGGGTCTGCAGCAACACAGCTTGCTGTGCCCCTGCCCTCCTCCCATGTACCCAGAACCAGCTTGGCCCTGGCTGCACCAAGGAAGGGCTGCCACAACGTCCTGCACCCCTTCCCAGCCCTGCAGCATTCACCAAGCGCAGCTGCCCGCAGCCACCTCCTGCTTTCCCCACATGCCTGGGGGTGCTGCCCAGCAGAGCGCTGCCCAGGCCGTGCTGCAGGAGCACTGCCCAGGCTGTGCTGCAGACCCCGAGGCTACTCTGGGGCTCTCAGTTTCCTTCCCAGACACAGCAGACCGCAGCACCAGCCGAGACAAGGCATGCAGCACCACCCCAGCAGGCATACCTGCAGCTCAGGAGACTTCTGGCTGAGGTCCGCAAAGGCATCCCCCAGGGCGTGCTGTGTCTGCACCAGGCTGTAGAAGTGGTTGGTGAGAGCCCGTGCAAGCTGCAGCACGCACTCGTACTTGCGCTTTGTCTCCCGGAGCAGCTCGATCTGCGTCTCCAGCTCCAAGTCCACCGTGCGGGAGCCCCGGCCAAACCTCTCTGAGATGAGCTGCTTGGTGCACTACAGGAAGAGGGAGGGGGTGTCAGAGCCCTGTCCCTCCATCCCTGTAGGTCGGCTGCACGGAGAGGCCTGGTCTAGCCCACCCCTGCCGTGTGGCCGGGTCCCCTGCTCACCTTGTATGTGTTGATGCCCCACTTCTTGACAATGTCAAACTTCTCCACGGCGATACCACGGACGACCTCCTCCCCTCCAACTGGTGGGCTGGGATGGGGCTGGTGCAGCCCAGAGCCTGGAACAGACAGCACACTGGTGGGGCTCAGCACAGGATGCAGCTGCAGGCTGGGCTGCCCACTCCCAACCACGGCTGGCACCGAGGCTGCTCCCAAGGGTGGCACCGTGCTCCCTGCGGGGCTGCACCGGGGCCTGACAAAGTACAAGCAAAGAGAACTCAGGTATGAGCAGCACCTGGCTCTGCACAGCCCGCACCAGGTGCCTCACCCCACACAGGGCAGGGCAGGCGATGGCTTTCCCCTGCCAGCCGAGCACCGTTACTGGCTCTGACAGAGCCCTCGGTATCACACGCCTTCTAATCTGCCCGCAGGCATCTCAAGTATGCAGCAGAGAACCTGGTGCTCAACGTCCGTCCAGACAGGTCCCAGCACAGGCTACAGTGCTGGCAGCAGTGGCTGCTGCTCAGATGGGAAGTGCTGCCCCCCCCATCCACTTGCAGCGCCGGTATATATATGGCACTCGACACGCCCCCAGGCACAGTGCAGGTGGAGGTGAGACCAGGAAACCGCAGCAGGGGGCAGGCGCACGGTGTCACCACCCAGCCACCAGGCTTCAGCAGCGCCGCCTGTGGCCCCTGCACCAGCACCATGGCTGGACATGGCTGCTGGGGGGGGCATGTGCTGGGGACGCTCCCCACCATGGCAGGGGAAGGAGTGAGCTCTGAGGAACCCCGGAGCGCACCAGATGCCCCAACTGGGAAGACCCCAAAGGCCACGTGGCGCCACAGTTGGGCCGGGGTAGCCACAGTACCTGCTGAAGCACCAGCCTGGCTGGCCATCCTGCTGGCGGCAGATGCACTGGGGGAGACGGATGGTCCTCGGGGTGAGTGAGGTTGGACAAGACAGCCTGGAAATGGAGGGGCTGGCAGGAGGTGAGCGGGGAGGGAAGAGGTGGGATGGTGCGAAGGACACGAGAGCAGGAACAGCCAGAACAGAGGATGAGTGTGCAGGGAGGACGGCAGCAGGGGAGCAGATGAAAGTGTGATGTGAAATCAGAACACACAGCTGGCTGCCGGACAGACAGCACCGCACCAGAGGTGCCCAGGCTCCTCTCCCGCTCCCTCCCCGCCCCTTGGCACATCACTGTGCCACTGAGCTGAGAGCTGGGACAGGCCAGGGCTGACAGACACGGGGATGGCAACCACTGCACACGTTCTCCCTGCTGCAGCGGGCTGTCAGCAAAATCCCACGTCCCCTCCATCTGTGCCAATTCACCTGTTCAGCCTGGCACAGCGCAGAGGAGCCCGTAGTCAAGCCATCTGTTTGCTGATGAAGGGATGCATCGGCCAAGAGCCGGGACACAGAGACTCATGCAAAATGGGGACAGGGTGAGAGTGGTTGCTGGGACCAGCCAGCACGTGCCCTGGCTGCAGGCACGTGGCACCAGCGGCGACCCGGCCGCCCACAGGCACTGCCCCTGGTATGGAAAGGTGCTCGCACACAGGCTCTGCCATCGAGGCACCCACGACCCCCAGGCTGGTATCAGCCACAAGGGGCAACAAGCACAGAGCCCGGGGCTCAGTCACCCTGCCCTGTTCTCCCCCCACACACCTGCAGGGCACCCCTTGTCCCCTGGGCACAGCCACCACAAGCCCACACCAGCACCGTGCAACTCCAGGACCTGGGACGAGCTGTGTCACCAGGCTCTTCCCCACCACCAGCAGAACTCCCAGGAGCTAAGCCCATGTGCCACAAGCTGCAGCGCTGCACCAGGAGAAGCTGCCCTGGGGGGCAGAGCCCCCAGCGGGAGCCCCGCACCTGCAGGAGAGCTGGGCATCAGCGGCCTGGGCCCATGGCACCGCTGTGGCTGCCCAGCACAAGGGGCTAAGGCTTGGAGCTGGGGCACAGGCTGCTGCTACAGCCTGCCCTGGAGGGACAGGCTGCAGGCACTTTGTGCCAGTGGGGGACACGACCCCAGCAAGGGGCCCCACAAAACTGCAGCTGGGCTGCCCCCGAGGAACAGGCTCCACTCTGCAGGGCCACGCCACCTCCCAGGGCAGCTGCAGGTTAGAACAGCTTCTGCCTGTGTCCCCGGGCCTCCTGTGAGGCACAGCTGCCCCCACTGGGCGCCGCACCCCAGGGCAGGACCGTCCTCGATGCCTGCCCCCAGCAGCAGGCAGGACGGGCAGGCAGCGCGCTCTGCTCTGTGCCCCCACCAGAGCCCTCCCCTCCGATGCCTGCCACGCAGCCCACCCCTCGCCCAGCCCCGTCCCCGCCTGCCCACACGGGGCCCGGCCTCCACCTACCTTTGATCGTGCTGGTGGGGATGATGCCTTCGGCGGTGCCCCCGTAGCCGCCAGACACGATGCTGGTTTCGTTGAGGTTGGGCCCCGACACCATCACCTGCTGCAGGTCCTGGGGGAGCAGAGCGGGGTGAGGCGCGGGGACAGGGACGGGGCCCCACGCGGGGACCTGGGGCCACGCAGCCCTCGGCTGCCCCCGTGCCCGGCGACCCCCCCGGCCCAGACCTGCTCCAAGCCGTCGTCCTCGGGCAGGCTGCCGGTGTCCCCGTTGCTGCTGATGGGGATCTCCATGGTGGCCGCCTTGCTCATGATCCCCTCCGACATCCTCAGGGCCTGCGGGGGGGACACGGAGGCCGCGCTGGGGGCCGAAGGCAGAGGCAGGGCCGGGGGCGGCCCCGCCGGGCTCCGTGCCCCGTGCCGGGGCGGTTCGGCGGCCGCTGGCCCCGGGCCCGGTGCAGCCCCGGGCGCCACGTCGCACAGCCGCGGCCGGGCCCGCTGCGGGTGGCGCCGCCCGTTAGCGGGGGGTGGGCGCGCGGCCCGGGGGGGCTCCGAGCGGCGGCTCCGGGCCCCGCGGCAGGCGGAGCGCCCGCGGCCCCGCACCGGGAGCGCGGCACGGCCGGGGGGGGGGGCGGGGGGGAGGCCCCGCGCTGCTCCCTGCCCCGCGGCGGGCGGCCCGGGCACGGCCTCGGGGCTGGGGGGGTGGGGGCGGCCCCGTGTCCCCGCCCGGGGGCGGCAGCGACCAACGGGACCCCGCCCGCAGCTCCCGGGGCGGCCCCCACGGCCCGGTGCCTACACCCCCCCGCCCCCCCCTCCCGGTCCGGTCCGGCCCGGCCCGGTCCCGGCCCCCCCGCCCCTCCCGCCCCTCCCGGCCTCGCCCACCTGCACCGCCCCGGCCCCGCCGGGCCCCCCCCGCCGCCGCCGCCCCGGCCCCGCTGCGCCTCGGCCCGGCCGCGCCGGAACCGCGGTGACGCCAGGCCCCGCGTGCGGGACGCCGGGACCGGGCCCGGACGTGGCGTCAGGGGGCGGCCCGGGGCGGGCGCGGCCCCTCCGGAAGCGCGGGCGGGCGGGCGGGCGGCATGGAGCCGGCGGCAGAGCAGCAGCAGCAGCTCCGCAGCGTGAGGGGCAGGGGCACGGGGCGGGGGGCGGCGGGAGGGGGCGGCGGGGGGGGACCGGGACCGGGACCGGGACCGGGCCGGGCGGGGGGGGCCGGGTGCGGGGCCGGGTCCCGGGGAGCCGCCGTGCAGCGCCGTGTCCCCCGCAGCTGCGGGACTTCCTGCTGCTCTACAACCGCATGACCGAGCTCTGCTTCTGCCGCTGCGTCTCCGACCTCAACCACCGGCTGCTGACACGGCGCGAGGTGAGCGGGGCCCGGGGCCGGGGCCGGGCCGGGGCCGGGGGTCCGCCCGCCCGCCCCGCGCTGAGGCCCGTGCCCGCAGGAGCTGTGCCTGGAGCGCTGCGCCGGGAAGCTGGTGCGCTGCAACCACCGCCTGCTGAGCGCCTACGTGGCCCTGATGCCGAGCATCGCGCAGCGCCGCGCCGCCGACTACGAGGCCAGCGCGGCCCGGGCGCAGGAGGCACCGGCGGCACCCGCTGCCCCCGACGCCGCTCCCGGTGCCTCCCCCGACACCTCTCCTGATGCCTCTCCTGACGCCTCTCCCGGTGCCTCTCCTCCCGCACCGGCGGCTGCGGTGGGCAGCGGAGCCTCGCCTGAGCCTGCGGGTGCCAGCACGTAGCAGAGCCGTGAGCCCGGCTGCGGCTTCCAGCGGCAGCAGAGGGCCGGGTGGCTGCGGGGCAGCCCCAGGCCCTGTGCTCGCGGTGTGAGACGTGGCTCCTGGGCCTCCACGCGGTGTTGGTAGCGCGGGTGTGGAGCAGCAGAGCTGCTCTGCGCCGAGGCCAGGCCCCGCAGATCCACGTGCATTTACACTGACAGCCAGGTCTGCCTGTCCCCAGGGGCGTCAGGGTGGGGGCAGCCCCCTGGCCCTGAAGGTAACGAGAGAGGGATCTGCGGCAGCCGCCGTTCTGGCCAGGAAGTTCCCAGCTGAACTGTCCATTGCCTTAGCGACCCCTGTGCTGGGCTCTCATGCTCCAGAGTGGGGGTTCCCATATTTCCAGGAGGCTGTTTCCTGGTACAATTAAACACTCTCTTCATATTTGTCTCAGTGCTAATATGTCATGAGGGAACACAGGGATTGCTCCACGAACACCCCCTGTGCGCTGCATCCTGCTGGGCCAAGGGTGCTTCCCTGGGGCAGGGATTCACATTGCTCCTTCTGGTCACCCTTCTCTTGTCCACATTGTGGCTACTGGCATTAGAACAGGCTGCAGAACGTGATGGTGCTGGGACAAGCCCTTTTTCTGGGGGTGGTGGGGTGCCCGCTGCAGCATGGCTGGGCCCAGCCCACAGCCAGGTAGGGCAGTGTTAGAGGTGGCTTAGCCTGGAGGGAGTGGGACCTGCTCCAGTACCCTGTGTGCCACTACAAGGCTGCTGCCAACTGGAGTTGGCCTCATCCAGGTTACAAGGCTGAAGGTGCACAGACACACAGATGGTTTGTAACACGCCTGAGATCACCACGTAAGGCAGCACTGGTGCGAGCAGTGCAGGCTTCCTGCTCCTGCCTCAGTGGTGGGGTTGGCACAGCACATGCGGGGCTCTGGGGCTGTCTGGACGTGCCCTGCAGCTGCTGTCCCTGGACTCAGGATGTGTTCGGGGGGCAGTGTGGCCCCACAGCCTGCAGCCACACTGCCCTGTAGGGCCTGGGACATCCTTGCTGCAGGTGTCTGCAGAGGCTGAGTGGTGACATGGGAGTGAGACCTGGTGTCAGTGCCATGTGAGGAGAGCGGCAGTCCCAGCTGTGCTGGTGGCCCTGGGCTGTGCCTGCCAGCCTGGACAGCATGCCCTCACGTGGGTTTACAGCACGGTAACGGCCAAGAAAGCAAAGTGAGTGCTTGATGTGATTTGATTGGCTTTGGACAAGTTTTTAAGGAGAGCCTGGTCCAACTTGTAGGGAATGAATAGGCTGCCAACAGTGGCCACTGAACTTGCCAATCTGTGAGACCTGTACCCCAGTCACTCCTGGAAGCCAAGGAGGAGCACTTACACAGAAGAGAGATCGGGGGAGGCTGGATCATGGTCACACAGCTCCTTGTGCTCTTCTCTGCTGTCTCTGAGCCTGCCTGGCCAGCCATCCTGGGGACTTTGCACTAGATGTTTTCCTGGGGACACAGACAGGGCCAGGACTTGCAGAATCACAGGATGTTGAAGGTTGTAGGAACCTCTGGACGTTGTTTGGTCCAATCCTCCTTCTCAAGCAGGGACACCTAGAACTCCTGCCAAACCCATCTTCCCAGGTTACGGAATGCTGGTGCAGGTGTTTCTGTGATGACACCTCTGGAGCATGGTTGCTGCCTGCATCTGGAGAAATGTCCCACGATGCCTGCAGGAGGACTGGGAGGCAGCAGCTTATCGCACCCTGTTGCTGCACCATGGGGTGCAGCAGGGGCTTCACGCACTGACAGCCGCTTTGCTGAGCTCTCTGGTTTATTGCTCCTCTCACACCTTGCTAGAAAGCAGGATTTGTGGCACGGTGTTTCTGCAGTTAACTGGTTCTAGGAATAAACACGGAATTTGAAGCCCGCCTTCTGTGTGGGGATGAAATGCCTTTGAAGGGTGGGTGCGCCACGTGTGTGGGCTGGGGGCACATCACCAGCAGGACGTCTGCTGGTGCAGGACGTTGGTGCGAGAAGCCCTGCAGTGAGGCGGTGCCGCTGGGGTGGGCTGCTTGGCCGGGGCGAGAGCACCAGGCTGCGCTCTGCGGGCTCGGACTGCAGCTGCACAGATCGTCCCATTCAGGAAGCCCTGGAGAAACAACGGAAAGAAGAATGCAAAGTTTGTGAAGAATAATGACATTTTCCAGAGCATCTGTTCTGTGATCTAGAAGGCCTGGTGGAGCCGAGTGTGGGTGGGTGGCAGCTGGTCAGAGCCACGAGCCTCGTGCTCCTGATCTCCTCTGGGACACACTGTGCTCCTGGCCCGGGAGCTCCAGCCGTACCCGTGGACTGGTTGCAGGGGTGCAGGGGGCGGAATGCAGCACGGCTCTGGTCCCCCTGCAGTCCTTGGGGGATGCAGCTGCAGCAGGGGTGCCCCTCACTGCCGCGGGCAGGCAGCCTGTCCCTGCCCAGCACCAGGCCCCATTCCCGGGCCTGGCAGCACATCACCCAGCCCCAGCGTAGCCCCGGCTGCCCCCATGGGACCCGAGCACCCCAGTTCAGATGAGGCTGCCCCCAGGGGACAGGGCTCAGGGTGCCTGCAGCTGGAGGCTGCACTGGTCTGCCGAAAGCTGTGTCAGTAGCTCCTGGCACGTCCCAGGAGGCGATGTCTACACAGGCCATCTTTCTCTCCTCTCGTCACAATGGTCCTGTCCTAGGAGCTCTCAGGTGCCTCCTGGACTCGGTGGCCTCGTGGCCTCACCAGCAGCAGTAGTTGCAGGCTCTGGAGCTGCTTTCTGGAGTTGCCAGTTGGTGCATCTTCTTGGTTGCTTTCTGTTCCAGACACCTCCCTTCTGTGAGGCTGTCAGTCTGCAGGTTTGTGAAGGCTGCACATCCTTTGTTTTCCATCTCATTTTTCCGAAGTCTGTCCGGAGGCTGCAGGTGGTGTGTCACACTGAGGATGTGTGACCACTATAGCGTGGTCACCATTACTTAGTGTCTGGCTGACTGCAAAATGGTAATTATACATTTTCATATAATTATAGAATGGTTTGGGTTGGAAGGCACCTTAAAGATCACCTAATTCCACCCCCCACCACAGGCAGGGACACCTCCCACTACAACAGGTTGCTCAAAGCCCCATCCAACCTGGCCTTGGGCACTGCCAGAGATGGGGCATCCACAGCTCCTCTGGGCAGCCTGTGGCAATCCCCTCAGATTTTTTCCACCTTGTGAAAAGGTGTGAGTTTAATATATTACCTAGCACATACGTAATTTGTCAAGGAAGGCGCTGAGCGTTTGTGCCTGGGTGCTTGGGCTGTGCCTTGGCTCTCACCTGCTCCTAGCTGCCGGGGAAGGTCCGTGCTGCTGCTCTCCGTGCAGACGCAGTGCCCTGCCTGCCTGCTCAGCACCTCTGGCGCTTCGGCTTCTCCCACAAAGCTTCTTCCAAACACCCCTTTCATTGTCTTAAACCAGGGCCTTCCTCTGCAGCCACGCAGGACATTCCACCGCAGGACATTCCACCGCCGCCTTCCTCTCCACAGCCCGAGGCGCAATCCAACCTTTGGAATGTTTTTGTCATTTTACAAGAGATTGCCTGTGTTCACAGGCCTAACTGTGCAAGAGCATACCCGAAGTGGTCAGGAATGCAAGTCCAGGCTGCGATAAGCTCAGCTGAAAAGGGCTTGGGAGTAACCATGGGAGCAGCAGCTCCTGAGCCAAAGAGCAGCACATCCACTAGCGCCCGCAGGACGAGTGCCCCATGCGTGACACCTCTGGTGGATGGTGCTCAGGGACTGGAGGGCAGTACAGAGATGACTGGAGGTCTGATGAAACCCTGTTTGGGAACCAAGGGCAGACATACCAAGCATAGACTTGAGCATACTCAGTAGGTTTGGGCCAGGGAGTTTGCTGCAGGCAGTGTCCAGACAAACATTAACTAGCTCAAAGGATGGAGATTTCCCCTTACTCATCTCCCTGCTGTAACAGGTGACCACCCTTATGGTGAAAAAGCTTTTCTTTGGGTCTACCCTTACTGTGGAAAAAACTTTTCTTTGTGTCTAGCAGCAATTTTCCATGTTCCAGTTAATGTCCGTGGCTTCTCATCCTGCCACCAGGCATTGTTCATCACTATCTGACCAAATTACAGCAGGATTGTGTTTGTCCCCACACAGCTCCTGCAGCCTGCACCGTGCAAAATGTCCTGGCTGCTGCTGCACCGGAGCAGAGCCGGCGGCCCCGGCCAGGACACAGATGGTGGATGGATGCCGAGGGGCTGTGAGGGGCCTGCAGTCTGTGGGGGTGGGCAGGTTGGTGCCCCTGGGGCATGTGGCAAAGCCAGGGTTGTTGTATCTGTGCCTCAGGCAGCCGTGTCACAGCAGCATAGCAAGCACAGTGCCCTGTCCTGCGGATACATCTCATCTGTGTCTGTAGAGGCTTGTGCCATCCCGCGGTGCCTCAGCATCTCCTGCTGCAGGCAATGGAAGCCTGAGCTGAGTGCTGGGTGCTGCTGGGGACGCAGCACGGTGCTGAAGGGGGGCAGCCAGGCACCGCTGTGCCCCTGGCCCCTTGCAGCGCTCTGCGGGGGTCCTGGCCCCAGGAGCACCAGGAGCTGGTGCCTGGGGTGGGCCAAGGCTGGTCCCAGTGTCTGTCCCTGAGGGCCGCTGCTGCCTGTGAGACTGTCGTGCTGACCTCCACCCTTTGACCCATTGGCTAGACAATTTTCCACCTATGTTCCTTTAATCAAGCCCTACTGCACCCATCTAGCTGCCAGATGCCACAAGGATGGGAAAAAGCATTGCTAAAATGAAAGTAAACGACATCTATCACACTCCCTCCTGCTCTGAATGCTGTCGTCTCCCTGAACAAACTGTTCGGGGAGATAAACAGCTTCACCGAGCACCTCTTGAACCAGACCCAGTGTCTTTGTATTCAGTAGGCTCAGCTAGATTTATTTATTTTATTTATTTATTTATTTGTTTTCATTAATTCATAGGTTTGATTTTTGAATCAGAGCAAATTTTCAGCATGGCACCTGCAGCAAGGTTGTGCAGGCTGTAGCTGGACTTTGCATGAAAACCAGTGTTTGTTCTCAGCTTGCCCATGACGAGCTCCACTTGAAGCCTTTTAACTCCTGTGTGGAAAGAGCAAATATTTGACTCCTCTCCACCCTCTCTCTTGTTCCTTCCTGGGTTTAGAGACCTCTTTGATCTTTACTGTGTTGATTAAATGAGTCACCTGCATTTGCAAGTTGTTCCTCAGATTCTTATTGTGTTGTTAATGTGTGGCCTGACATCTTCTGGTACTTTCCATTTTCCTTACGTGGATTCAACTTCAGTGTCTTGAAAGATGCCTCCTTGCCCAGAGCTGCTCCTCGGCTTTCAGATGTTTCTTCTGTGTCTTCTCAGGTCTCTGCCTGGGGCGTCACTGGCACTGTCTGGAGGGATGTAA